TGAAAAGGCCTCATGTGAAGGTCCACTCTCTGTGGAAGAGTGTATTGTGGCCTTGAAAGGAATGAAATCGAACAAAACGCCTGGGAATGATGGTTTGCCTGCAGAATTTTATAAAACATTCTGGAGTTCTTTAGGAGCAGATCTCGTACAAGTCTTGAATTTTGGATACGGGCGCCACTCTCTGTCGGTGTCGCAGGAGAGAGGGATTATAACTCTGGTGCCAAAGAAAGGGGATCTGAGAGATCCCAAGAATTGGAGGCCAATATCACTCTTGAATGTAGACTACAAGATTGCCTCAAGGGCAATTGCTGGGCGCCTGCTGAGGGTTATTTCGTGAGTGTCGTCTCTCCTGATCAAGTGGCAAATGTGCCAGGGCGGTTTATTGGGGATGCTGTAATTCTGTTACAAAGTATAAGTACTTACCGTCATGAAACCGGTTCACCGGCGGCCTTGATATCCTTGGATCAAGAGAAGACGTTTGACCGAGTTGATTGGGGCTTCTTAGTTAGGACTCTTGAAACCATGGGATTTGGACAATCGTTTTGCTGTTGGGTACGAACTTTCTATGCTAGTCCTCAGGCTTCCGTTCAAGTAAATGGCTTTCTTACTCTCTTTTTTAACCTTTCTCGTGGTGTCAGACAAGGGTGTCCTCTCTCGCCTCTGTTGTATATTATCTGTGCGGAGGTTTTGGCTGCAAACGTAAGGATCTGCCCTAGGATCCGAGGACTCAGTCTACCTGGAGTTGTAGGCTCGGAGGTGAAGATAACGCAGTATGCCGATGATACCACACTGTGTATCACAAACGACCAGTCATTTCAGGCTGTCTTAGATATCTATGAGCTTTATGAAAGAGCGTCGGGTTCAAAGTTGAACGAGGGGAATTCTAAAGGCTTATGGCTGGGGAGATGGTCTGGCCGTGCTGACGAGCCGATCAGGCTCTTATGGTCATCGACGGTGCTGCCCTGCCTGGGTACAATTATTGGGCCTCAGGTCCCTCTTGAGGATAACTGGAATAGCAGAGTTGCTTCGCTCTCCAATGTTTNTTTTTGTCTTTTATCCCGCTCTGCCCACGTTTTTCTGTGCGGCAAATACTTTTTGGCTTTAGCCCGGAGGAGTGCGAAATCGTCCCTCCAATCTTCCAGTACATKGTCAATATAGCAAAGTTCCTTATATGGCTGGCTAGGAATGATTTCCGTTTTCGGCAGGTAGAGCCTGACCCTGAGGCTACCTTGTTAGCAATCAAGCACCGTTCAGACTTCTTTTTATCCATCTTTGCCAAGCGTTTTGTTTCGGAATCCAGAAAACGCTCCTTCCACAGACGATGGGTTATCCCTGAAGGCCATTGGGCAACAGTTCTSAAGCCTCCATAGGCTRAATCAGTTTYCAATCTCTCTGTCCGGATAAAATATAAAGCCGTAAAATAGTTTAATTTTTGGAATGTTACATGGGAAATAAACCGTCTTAAATGATTAAAAGTTAAAAATAATATTTTTGGATTTGTAATTTTTCAGACCTCCTGAGGTAAGGTTTTTTCAGCAAAGGTTGCGTGTTTTGGTCTCGTCTTGTTGGATTTATTGTCAGGTATCTGTTAGATATTGGTAATTTTGTGCTTTGGATTTTCCGTCGAGAGTTTCCACCCCTAAAATATAAAAAAAAAACAAAAAAAACAAACAAACAAACGCGGACACTTGTAGCGATTCCCAAGTGACGTTTTCCATTGTTTTCAATCTCCCGTAAAGCAGACACATAAATTCAATATGATCTATTTATACTATTAGTAATAAGTAGTCAGTTTTATAGCATGCTTGTGAATGATAGGACTGACTATACATGAAGCTGAATTACACATCTTCAGTTTGGATTTGAGCCAGTTCATCGAAAATTCATCGCCGATAAAGTGATAATCACACGACAAAGTCATAGCCACCTACTATGTAAAGGCACATTCCCGTATAACAATCTTTGCTGTGTTGATCACTCTTTTCAAAAACTTTGTCAGCAGCGCTGGACATTCAAGATTCATTTTTTAACGGTATTTTTTTTCGA